GTTTAGTTCATGGGGGGGGGGGCTAGCTGGATGAGGAACTGTGATAACTGTGTTGAGGCCACTGGTCCCTTACTCTTACCACATTGCCCCTTTCCCCATTGATTTTGGCATGTTCACCCAGCAGTGCTGTATACTAGTACACATAATGTGTTCATGACTAAAAAGTGGGAATTATAGCAACTGGAAATCAGTTCAATTTAATATTTTGCTCTGCAAAAGAATAATTAAATGAACTAACCTAGCGTGATCTCTTGCTATGATGTTCGGCTTGCTGCAATGTAAGATACAAATATTTTGAAAGTAATACTGCAGTGTACCATCTCAGTGTAAGAGAACTGTGTGTGTGTGAGACCTGAGTAGTAGATAGGACCTAAGTAGTGGATGTGGCCCAGTAAAGGAAAGTGGCTTTGTATGTGACCGAAGTAGTGGAAAGGGGCCTAAATAGTGAGTGTGGCCTAAGTAATGGGAAGGGGCCTAAATAGTGGGTGTGGCCCATGTAGTGGAAATGGGCCTAAGTAGTGGGTGTGGCCCATGTAGTGAAAAGGGGCCTAAGTAGTAGGTGTGGCCCATGTAGTGGAAAGGGGCCTAAGTAGTGGGTGTGGCCCATGTAGTTGAAGGGGGCCTAAGTAGTGGGTGTGGCCCATGTAGTGGATAAGGGCCTGAGTAGTGGGTGTGGCCCATGTAGTGGAAAGGGGCCTAAATAGTGGGTGTGGCCCATGTAGTGGATAAGGGCCTGAGTAGTGGGTGTGGCCCATGTAGTGGAAAGGGTCTAAGTAGTGGATGTGGCCCATGTAGTGGAAAGGGGCCCAAGTTGGGGGTGTGGCCCATGTAGTGGAAAGGGGCCTAAATAGTGGGTGTGGCCCATGTAGTGGATAAGGGCCTGAGTAGAGGTTGTGGTCCATGATGTGAAAAGGGTCTAAGTAGTGGTTGTGACCCAAGTACGTGTAGTGGGTGTGACCCATGTAGTGGAAATGGGCCTAAGTAGTGGGTGTGGCCCATGTAGTGGAAATGGGCCTGAGTAGTGGGTGTGGCCCAATTAGTGAAAAGGGCCTAAATAGTGGTTGTGGCCCATGTAGTGGAAAGGGTCTGAGTAGTGGTTGTGGCCCATGTAGTGGAAAGGGTCTGAGTAGTGGTTGTGGCCCAAGTACGTGTAGTGGGTGTGGCACATGTAGTGGAAAGGGGCCTAAGTAGTGGGTGTGGCCCATGTAGTTGAAAGGGGCCTAAGTAGTGGGTGTGGCCCAAGTAGTGGAAAGGGGCCTAAGTAGTGGGTGTGGCCCATGTAGTTGAAGGGGGCCTAAGTAGTGGGTGTGGCCCATGTAGTT